GCTTTTATTGGAGAGTCTAGCCGCATAAAGCACTCGCCCAGTGACCTCATAATGAATGATGGAGAAGTGGAGAAGGAGGAAGAAGGAAGAAGGCGGAGAATTTAACAAAGTTGTCAGCTGTTGTACGCACTCAATTCAAACAATGGATTTAAAGGAGTTCTGTCCTATTTCAGTCCAATCTGTTACCCATTTGCTGCACCTCAGTAGTACTAACGAAATAAATAATACAAAATTCTTCTTGCTCCGGGTCTTGGACATCGAAGATCACATTTACTGGCTGTGATCATTAGCAGTATTTATTGGGGCTGAGCCTTGATTTAATAAATTCTCCTCTGCTTTTCCACAAGCCAATTAATATCCTATAAAGTTCATATTTTCGGTTTCTGCGTTGAATATCCACCACCTCGTCAAGGTTGCATTGCCTTTGGTCGACTTCCTTCAAAGAGAGGTCCTACTTCAACTTCTCTAGTTAATTAAAGTTAGACCACAGCCCAGGAGCAATAACAGTGAGAGCCTGACCCTGTATGCTAAGGAGGAAACAACACAGGAATCCTCAGAGTCTGAGGCTATGTCAGATGTGTCCCTTACCCAGCATGATGCTGTTGAGTGAATTACCCCAGTTCCGTGATCTAATTTTATACCCGTATTAATTTCCTATTAAAATTGCATTTCTCTACAACTAAGAGCGAAACAGTTTTTCCTATCCAAATGTGTGAATACATATGTACATACTCGTATGTCCTCGTATGTATCTCTTCTAGTGTATATTTACAAACGAGATTAAAAGAATTGATAGCCAGAAATAGAGATGCTCTGACGTTTAATAATGTATAATTTGCATATTTATATTATATTATTGCATATTTTTGCATTATTTATTGCAATTTATTGTCGAGGGTTTTTTGTGTATTAAAAATCGCTGGACTTGCGGCTGTGCCGAATGCAGCGGCCCAAAATGCAAGCAAAATTCAAGAGACAGGAGAATCTAATCTTTAAATCTAATGCTAAACGATAACAAAATAAGTCTGAAGATAACCAAACGAGAGAAGAGCACGGTAGCTATGTGATATGTATATGATACAGTGAGCAGCAGTAACAAAAAAAGCATAGGCCTTAACTTGTAGTTCTACATTATTTTTATTTAAATACACCTCAATGCATGCCATTGACCTATTGTATTGGAATTGGAATGGAAGTACACTTCAAAGAACTAATGTAAATAGTATTTACATATCTCCAAAAATAATCACTACTTAGATATCTATGATGGGGAAGGCGGGTGAAGCCAGATATCTGAAACGAATCCTGAAACGGAATAATATCCATATTCTTATTGCTCTGTCGCCTTACATAAAAAGAACTCAACTTTCTCAAGGCGAGGATCCAGTTCAGCTTCAAGAAGGAAAAAGTGTATTTATGGCCAAAGTATATTGGTAATCAGGTAAGGATAGGTCCTCGATTATTATTATTTCAAATTAATTAGACCCTTCAGAAGTTTCCATTTCGAAAGAATCTTAATCATTTTTCGAGTGTATCGCCCAAAGAAAGAGCATGCTCCCCTTGATTCAAAGCTCACAGCAAGTGGAATGGCCAGCAAGCTATTCCCAGACAATTATGCTCTGATTGCACTCGTTTTAGCTGCCATCGAATGTCATTCCGATTCCGAGTCCGTATTGTATGTACATCGGACAATTGTGTCTCCGTTAAGACAGAGGTACCATTGTTAATTGCAGTTGGAAGCGTCTTCTGGTCAATGAGCTGGCCGGCGGAAGCTCTAATGGCACTTGATGTGCATTCGACATTAGTTCGTTAGCTGCAGAAAATGGCCAGCAAGTGGGGACAGCAAGAAAGGCACTTGAGCTCTGGCCTCACGGAGACCTGAGAGCGGCGACCTCTTGTCCGGCCGGACGGACAAAAGGGTGCAAAATGTCAACTTATGGCGAGGGCAGGCAGGAAAGGGATTATAAAAGGACTCACAGACGAATGCATATACTATATATTTACTCGTCGTATAGTATGTGTTGAGGGAAGGATATACGAGGATGTATATCAGGTGGACTGGGAAGCACTGCAGAAGGCATAACAAAAGAGCTGAAAATTAAAAAGAGACAAGCAATTAAAAGGGCTTACAACGAGGACAAGGAGCAGAAGCAGGAGGAGGAGCGGCAACTGGAGCTTGAACTGGAACGGGAACGGTAACAGCTGTAACTGTAATTGTTGTTGCCCCTGCAGCATAATTGCCGACAGGATGCAACGCACGCGACCACTTCCGCTTGGTAGGCACTGCACTTGGTCCTCCCTGCCAGGACCCAGCAGAGCAAGGAACGGAATACCCGGGAAAGAACTCATAACGTGGGCACATTTTCCGTACAAAATAAATGGCAGGTCGGAGCGCAGCAGAAATTAATGGCAGTGCAAACAACAAAAGCCAGGCCCTGGGATCAGCCAGGGATTGCCCACACCCCACTTCGCCACAGGACCTCTTTATCCCGCCTCCGTGTATCTGCTGATGCGTAAGTTGTCATCTGCTGAATGGCCAAGTCCGCAGTGCTGACGGCTCCTGTTCCACTGCTCTTCCACTGCGGCTGCCTGTTTCAGGGACTTTGCATAATGCGCATACGCCGTGCAAGCCAGTCGGGCAGTCGGTCAGCCCAGCCACCCGGCCACCCAGACGGCATTTCGCCATTGAGTGTTACTTCCGGTTTCAAAGAGCCCCCGATGAGCAGCGCCCTGGCTTCTGTGGAAAGAACAATTACACCGATTGCCTTGTAGCGACACGAACAGCAAACCAACAGTGAAGAAACTCCACAGGCCTAGTGGGCTGTTTCGACCTATCCGATACCCGACAGGAAAGGGCTTTCCAGCTAATAAGAAATTTAAATACAGGAATGTTCTACATACTTGGATTGGTATGTATGTATTTATGAATATACATATTATGAATATATAATCAATGCAAAAATGTACTCACTACAAACTCTTATGCGTTAAAAATAAAATAATTCAATAATAATTCACACAGCTTCTTGTGCTTAATTGAAAAAGGATACTTAGATCTATTGCCCCACTTATGATCGTGATCGCGATCCACAGCGATGAGGTTGCTTAGGTTTTGCTTCTTAATTTACTTCAATTTTATTATTATTCTGCTGATCGGTACCAACATTGTATAACCGTCGAACTGGACTAACTATGAATACCATTCAAATTACATTTATTTTATGAATGATGATTCAAGCATAAAGCAAGTACAAATGTATGTGCTTGCTCGCATGAAGAAAATTGTATAATAAAAACCTTTCCCTGTACACTTATAATGGCTTGGAAAATGGCCTATCATTCAGTTCCATTTGCATGGACGCGTCTCGCAGCCCACAACTGTTCATGCCCTCGCTTTGGTTTAGTGCAACTGAAACAGTGAGGCAGTGGTGCAGGAGACGTTGAGGGTGATGGTGAGAGTACGAGGCACAAGAACATAATGAAATACATGGCAGATGATGGGGGAGACCCGTAGCAGCCCTACAATGCGTGAATGCAACTCCACAACATGTCGTGGCTCCAGCATCCTGTGCCGGACTTCGCCCTACACCACACCACATCACTCCGTTCCGGTCCGTTCTGCACAGGCCCATCATGGTGGCAATCATAATAATGGCATACAATTTAACAGCATTGCATATCGGAAGGAAATCTCAGTGGCCGCAATCTGTAGCCCGTCTTCGGGCGGCAGCCCCCCTCCCCTTCTTCTGCGGCTGGTGCTTGGACCTGGACTCATTGCATTTGCCTACTTATGTACTTAAGCTTGTAGAGGCGGTGGTGAAGAGGCTAAAGCAAGAACCACTTACGTACGGGTAAATGGGTCACTTTGACCGCTGTACAAATGACAATTGCCGGTCTGGACCCTGGTTCCTGGATCCTCAGGGAATTGCTGCAGTTGTTGGCCCTGCTTAAATGCATATGAATTAACCAAATAAATCATGTATTTTTCTCCCATATAGGTCTGTCGTAGTCGAGTAGGTCGTGAGACTACTGTCAGCATGAAGATGTTACAGACAACTACGTGGCTCTTAAAGCATCACCAAGACAACCTGGCCAACCCTCTAATGAACATTCAAAGTGATGGGCGGCAGGACCTTTCTCCGACAATAAAAGCGGCCAGAAGCACGATTTTCTGGAGGAAAGGCAGAGGGCACACAAGAGTCGAAGAACGACCGCTTTTCACAACGTGTCTAGGTCGTGGTCCGCTCTGATTGCAGGCGTCAATTAGCGTAATATTCGCAATATGCTTTTGTCTCCGTATTCATTTTTATTGCGTTTCTTGGTCTCTATGGGCCGCCAGGAAGGACCCTGACCTGCCTTCCGCGACACATTGGCTGGTAAAAAGTTTGCAGTGGCAGATGGTTTTAATTGCTTCATGGCTTGTTTTTTGCCAAGTCTTTGAAAATTAGTTTGAAGCCTTTTGAGAGCGAGGGCAAGCATATAATTGATATTGCTAAATATTTATTTCTGCCTGGGGGAGGGGGAGACATGGCAGCCGAGAGCGCAATTTAACAAATGGAAAGCCGGGAAATGCAAATTGGAGCAGAAGCAGCCACAAGCCGCTCAAGGGGGAACCGGAGAGTCGCTCGTCTGTTAAGAATCAAATGTGTGTCAGCCGCAGGTGAATGCCCCCTGCTTGTTCTCTACTTCTCCATTCCACCCACTCCACCTAAAATTGTAGTGCTGCTGGAGCTGATAACTTTACGCCTGTCACGCCCAACATGGCGGGCCTTTCGTCCGATGTATAGCGTGTCGCAAAATGATTTCATTCACTAGCCAGCGGCGGCGCCATGACAGCGGTGTGCACACGGTCTTGCCTTCTTCGGTCGGTCATATCGTTCCGGCTACACACAGAACGTAAACAATGCGCGATAGGGGAAGCCTCGAATAGAAATGGAAATGTGCTTTCAACGCTTATCGGTAAACAATGGAGAAAACAGATATGAGCTACGCCGATCGACTTTACGCTGATTAACAGATCTATGGGGCTTTAATGCTATGCACACAGTCCAAGAGGCACCTTATTACTAGACTTAACCCTAAACACAAAAGTCTTCCTACGAAAATGGGTATTTAAAAAGTACGTCGCGACGACGAGCTACTCCTCATCCTTGATGCAGTTTTCGACCAGTTGGCGAAGATTGGTGTTCTCCATGGCCGCAGCAATGCGCTCCTTGTCATTGATTTGCTTGTTGACTGTTCAAAGCATGGGAAAATAGACAAATTAGTGGAAACTTCTTAATGATCCTTTGAAGGACAATCTCACTTTCGTCTTCCGTTTGATGAGCTCCTTTTTTGATGTAAATGTCCAGTTTAATGTTGTGCGGCAGACCACGCTCCACCTTCACGCGTATGCAGAGCCCTATCAGCGTAGCCAGGGAGCAGTGCGGCACCGTCGGGTTGAATTCGATGCGTACCTAGCGTAATAGCAAGCAATTCAGAGATTAGATCACATTCGAGCAGGCACCGAGGCGTGCGTAACCTACAACAGATACATTCGAGCGTGTGGGGGGCAGGACGAATATACCGTCCTCGTAGATCACATTCAGATCCTCCAGAGTGCAGGGCTTCTCGGGATCGCGTATGCCGCGCAACAAGTCTGCAAACAAAAGACGCAACGGAATTACATAATTCTAGCGGAAAATGTAAAAGTTTCAGCACCGTAGATGGTCTCTTGCAGGTCAGTGGCGTTCTTGTAGCCAAGCTCTTGCAGCAGTGCGTCCTCGCCGTAGGCAATCGCTTCATTATCCATCGACATCTGACTTGTTTTGCGCACTAAATCGTCCGCTGATGTGCGGCCGCTAGAGCTGTTGCTGCTGTTGGTAGTGCTGCTGCTGCTGCTACTGCTGACGCCTCCGCCACACGAGGACGTCACGGGTACGACGCTAGAACCGCTGTCGGACTCGGAGAGCTTGCGTTTGATGTAAGACAGCATATTTGTACACCGTGTCGCTCTTTGGCACCTAATTGGGGAGGCTCTCTTATCGGCAACAAATGCTTTTATCTATTACGAATCACAACGGCTGCCACTGACTGCGAATGCTATGTGTGTGTGGTTGGGGTGTGTGTGTGTGTGTGTCTACTCAGTGTAGCATAATTGTGGTCAAACACTCCTTTTTCCCAACTTTTTGTTTAATATTTTTTAATTGTCACTGCACCAGCTGATTTTTGTTTGTGTAAAGTCCAGGGCTGCACAGACTTTCAACAGGGTCACGTCACCTTATTCCAACTGGGTGGCAGCGCTCTCGAAAGGTTTCGCCGATATATGGCAAACGATAAACATATCCGAAAAGCCCGCTCTTTTTCTACTACAAAATAAAGTTGTATTTAAAGAAAATAAATATGTTTATGCAGATTTAGAAATTTGTTGGGCCATTGCGGTGTGTTGGCAATTATCATTGCGTTCTTCTTTGCCGGCGCATTCAACTTCAGAGGCCAGTTATATTATTATTGCGACTCTAGAATTATCCCACTGTGCGCACAACGCTGTGGAAAGTCGAAACCTATTCGGCCCATCGTACTTAACACCGAATCACTCATAAAGTAGGCCTTGATTTCGATCGAACTCGGGCCATTTTCGACCTACCGGAAAAATCCAGACAAAAATTCATTACGTTTTAGTTTGTCGTACGGATTGTTTCTTTTTTGTGAGAGCTCGTCGGAAAAAAGCATTTTGCTTTTGCCTTTTGAAAAAAAAGGGTATAAAGTTCGTAAAACGCGAAAGAACCGGTCGAAAAAAAAAACGCGTAGAGAAATTCAAAATAAAAGGTAGGCTGAAAAGTGCTTGAAAATAGTGATAAAGTGCGCGAGAAGGCAGAGAAAAGAAAAAGATGGCGCTTGAAGTGAACCTAGACTGGAAATAAACCGTAGCTTTGTACATATTTCCACTCTGCGGTGTAGAGCAGCGCAGGCAGTTTTTTGCAATCCGTCAGACATTCCACAGCCAAAACGCTGCTCAAGCGGTTCGCGATTTTATTTTTTTTTTTTTTGAGAAAAAAATTTTCTTTGTTTAGAAAATTTTAGTTTTGTGTTAAAACAGTAGGCCTACTCGGTTGCTAATTTTATTTTTTTGAATTTCCTGGTGTTCTCAGATATTTTTTCAAAATGGTTGCCGAAATTTCTAAAGAATGTGTTACCATTGCCGCGGCCGATCAGTGCGTGGACATGAAGGAGGACCTGCCGGCAGGGAACTATATCCTGGTTGGTGTTGATGTAGACACCACTGGACGACGTCTGATTGATGAGGTTGGTATTGTGTCGGAAGGGGCTTTGACCCTCTGCGTCGGACCTAACCTAACTTTCCTCTACGTCTGCCCTTTGCCCATTTTCCAGATTGTCCAGTTGGCTGCCTACACTCCAAAGGATAACTTCCAGCAGTACATCATGCCGTATATGAATCTGAATCCAGCCGCTCGTCAGCGTCATCAAATTCGTGTGATTTCGATCGGCTTTTATCGCATGCTGAAGTCGATGCAGACCTACAAGGTACATTTATACCTACACTCCCGTTATGTCCGCTAATTCTAGCTTTTATTTTCTCAGATTATCAAATCTAAATCGGAGGTTGCTGCCCTCATGGACTTTCTCAACTGGCTTGAGATGCTGGTCGCCAAACAGCCCAGCACTGATGGCATCGTTATGCTCTATCACGAGGAGCGTAAATTCATACCCTACATGGTATTGGAGGCGCTCAAGAAGTACGGTCTGATTGAAAGATTCAATCGGACGGTGAAGTCTTTTGTCAACACTTTCAATATGGCCAAGGCCTCCCTTGGCGATGCTAATATCAAGAACTGTGGTCTACGCAAGCTTTCGTTGCTCTTGGCCAAATCGAATGATGAAAATGCCAACAAGGAGAATGAACCTGAGAATGTCAACAGAAACGGCAGCAGCAACGATAAGTGCCACAAGAATGGAATGAATCAGGAGCATGACTTTTTCGAGGGGAGTGCCAATGTGCGGGCCAAGATGGTCTACGAAGTGGCCCTGCAGTTGACCAACTCTGACCGCACATCCGAGCCAGAGTCTTCGGAGCAATTGGTTAACCTCTTCAATGCCGTGAAACCATTCGCCAAACTTGTCAGCTCTGACATCATGGAGCTGCAAACCCAGAACGAGAACATGGGCCGCCAAAACTCGTTCCGTCCTGTCTTCTTGAACTATTTCCGCACCACTCTGTACCATCGTGTTCGTGCTGTGAAGTTCCGCATCGTGCTGGCTGAAAATGGCTTTACTTTGGATTCTCTAAAAGCCATTTGGACCGAGAAGCGCAAGGAGGGCTTGGAACTGGCTCTGACCAATATTGATACCCTGAAGACCGAGGAAAAGACCGAGCTGGTGGAGCTTCTGGACAGCTTCTTTGACCCAAGCAAGGCGACCATCAAGCCGAGTTTCAAGCCCAATGGCAATGGCCCTCGTCGTCGCATTCGGGCCAACGGAGCAGCATCATCGAAGAATGGAGCCATGAGCTCCCGTTCTACCAGCACTGAATTCGGTGCTGGTGGCGACAAGTCCCAGAGCGAGGGACTCAGTGCCCCAGTGCCGGACTCCACCACCAAGTCGCCCTCGTCCGGCAAGACTGGCGGACGTCCTCATCGCAAACGCAACAACACTCGCAACGGCTTTGGCAGTGCTAAGGGACCCAAGAAGGCTGAGACACTGAACATAGCGGCCCCGGAATCATTACCACCACAGTCGCCAGTGGCGGTGTCCACACCAGTGGCTATTGCTGCCACCAACTAAAGCTCCCAGGAGAGGGGTACAGTGCAAGTAATTAAGTTTTTATTTTTGTTTTTTTTTTTTGCTTAACTTTGCGCTAGTAGTGCTTTGGTAGAATATTATTATATAGTGCATTAGCAAAGCTATCCCAAGTCGAGATTACCTACTCGGGTACGTTTTAGATTGTTGATTAATTTTATGAATTGCCCATGCTTGTATTATACCATTGGATTTGTACATAAAGAAAGAGAATGAATCGAAACGTGATCTTTCAGCAGTAGCGTAGCTGCCAGTGCTTACTCTTATTCCACTATTGTACCAAACGAATTCTTACGAAAATATCAAAATTGCAGCCACCAATGAAACGGACACTAAAACCCCATTTAATAGAAGATAAGGACGAAGTATGGAAGACCAACACAGATTAGAAACAATGTCAAAATTTAAGTGTAAACACACATCACAACGAGGCCCGTGAAGACTTAGAATTGAATGTTGTACAAAACACTCGCGGCTGGAGCTTGCTGTCGAGAAGTGCTTAATCGAGACGTTTTAAAACAATTATTGTAACTTGGATGTGCGCCCAAAGCGAAGTGCTGTGCCCACGCTACCCCACACGAAATATCGACACATTGGTGCGTACAAATCGTCGCGTTTAGACATAGTTTTCCAAAAAATACGATGTACAACTGTACTGTCGGAGGGCCATTGGAAAAATATGATCCCAATAAACGCCTCGATTAAAATTTTGCATTGGGCAGGTTGACGAAATATCACACTAATAGTTAAGTAACCCCTATCAGGTCCCTGGCCCAATGTTTAAAATTCCACTTGAAAGCTTAAGTACACACAAAAAAAAACCACACTCAAACATGCCCTACTGTAAACACACACTCATAATCAAATCAACGAAGAATGAAGGAAAAGAAGGAAGCTTCAAGCTCAAATCACCTGCTCAAACATGTCAAAATATTTCAAGATGTATTTCATTTTTCCAAAGAAATGTATGAATAAACGATTAATTATAGTGTAACGATATATCGAGCCCATCATTAAGTGTGACCGCATACCACTGGAAAGAACCATATGATTCGCTAGCGATCGTTTCATTTCTTTCCGTTTGCTAGTGTTCAGTTCCTCTTGGTATTTGTTTTTGTGAAGGTTTTAAATGGAAGTCGATCCGGAAGAGCTTCAGGAGGAGAATACATCGTTCTACAATGGCTATCCACTTGACTTTGAGTACTTTAACATGGCCCACGGCATGCTCGTGGAAATCAGCGAGGAGCTGCGCGAAAAGTTCCCTCATGAGGAACACTTCAAGCTACAGCAGCTGAACACTCTTTACCTGGCCGCCCGGAGCAGCCAGATGATGAGATTCGTGGAGGCTCTCAACACCGCCAACAGCAAGGCGGTGCAGACATACCTGGTCAATACAGTGAGTACCGTACCCTATGGTGTGGCAGGTGCAGCAGTGTTATGGCATGGAAACGAGCTGCGCGCTGCCTGTATTTACTACTGCGTCATTAATGAAAATCATTGCTATATGTATACGTATTTGGTTTATATGTAAACTTGATGTCTGCTGCCGCATAGAGCGCATTTTATACGATCCATTGCTGGTTTTTGGGTATTTACTTGGTTTGTCATTGTTTATGGGAAAGTGTGAGAGAGAAAGAACGGCAATGAGAAGAGCTCCATATGCTCTTTCCAATATACAGTAGGCACTCGATAAATAGGAAAAAGTAAAAGTTGTTTCGCTTCCAAAGTTATAATGTACCATCCACAGATTTACATACATATAAAAATCTTTATTAAAAAAAAACATTTGTGTAGCATATTCCTTGCTTAATGGCATTCACCGTACTCGTTTATAACTTTACTGCCTGCCAAAAAGACAAGTAAACAGTAATTCTGTTAATTTGCAAACTTAATGATCGATTCGCGCACACTAAACTCTATTTAAGGCCTGCACAGTCACTGTCACATTGAAATATCTGATGGAAACAGGCACTCGGAAAACCATCTTTGACCAATTACTCATGGCTGGGCGTAGGGGGGTGCGGACAAGGGACCACTCGGTACCTCTCTGGACACGAATTTGGCCTGGCGCCAGATCGAATAATTTTCGGTTTCCTGAAATGTGCGTTTATTAATTTGTTTACTAACCAAATGTTTTGCACACCTCTTGGCAGGAGAGAGGGGATCTGATCGAGAGATTGGCTCTGCTGCGCCGTAATCTAATCGAACACAAATCCAATCCCATAAATAATGCAACGTAGGTCTAATCTTTATGGAGTCTGAAATACGATTGAATTTTGCGTTCAAAAGTCGAATTTATGCAGCGGCTTACTCTTCCTCTTTTTCGATGACTGTGGAATGCAGGGAAACAGCTGCGGGCGGTAAACAAACCCCTGGATGGTATGCAAGGACCTCTCTCCGGGAACAGCTGTTTGGGCAGAGGGCTCGTGCGCAGGCGGTCGGCTCTCTCCCTTTTGATTCAACCCCCAAAGACCAATGGGTCTGGGCCTGAGCCTTCCCTTTACGAGTGTATCTTTCATATGCTAACTTAGGGTTGGGAATCGAGAGCTCGTTTCACTGGCGAAGTTTTATCGAATTTTTTCGGCGCTCGTCCGGCCTGGCAGGACCTTCTATGCCTCGGCAGCTGCCAGTTAAAAATTAGATTCCAGGCCATGAACGCGGAGCTGTATCGGTAATAGATTTCCTCCTCCATTGCTTGGGGCTGAGCTCACAAACATCACTCTCTATAACATTGTTGCAGCACACGGAAACGCTGGTACGAGTCCGCCTGGCCAGGACCGAGCTTCTGGCGTGGAGCTAACGACACCATGCCCGTGTCCAGCTACATAACGTATCCGGCGGTGAGTGCGGACCCCCGCAGCCAGCAGTTTCTTGACCCAAATGCTCTCTAAATGCAAGGCCAACACGCAATTGTCATCCGCGAATCGCCTTGTGCTTGGACTTTGGCCAGCCTGGATGCTATTTTCCCTGCATTCATATGGCGCAGGCTTGTAATTTTTACTCTCGCCGTGCCAAAAGGCGAACAAAGAAAGCGGCTGCCCCCCCCGTCACCAGCGTGCCGACCAAGTGACAAGAGCTCTGCTCCGCACGGTTTTTCCCAAAGATTTATGCTTTACATTTCTTTTTACATTTTCCGACGCACTATTTTCGTCCAACCTTGACTGTGAAACGGCTGCGCACGCACATCATACGCTAACCCGTCTAATTCTCATGCTCACTCACTCTCCCCTTCTCTGTAGAATTTCGATCAGCCAGATGGACAATCGCTGACCCCGCTGACGATGGCCGCCATGTCGGGCAATGTGACGTTTGTGAAGACCCTTCTCTCGCACTACGATGTGGATCTGGAGAGGGAATGCAATGTCATCTTCGATGGCCTGGTGGTGTATGGGGCCACAGCCCTGTGGGTGGCTGCTGGCATGGGACATCTACAGATCGTGAAGATGCTGGTCCAGGCAGGAGCGGCTATCAATCACAATACCAAGGCGCAATCATCGCCCTTGAGAGCTGCCTGCTACGAAGGTAGTGCTACGAACTATTCATATTCGAACGAACTTTATTCATATATTTCCATCCCATTTTAGGTCGCCTGGACATTGTCCAGTTCCTGATAGAGCACGGAGCTGATGTAAATGCCACAAATCTGTTCAACAACAATACATTGATGATTGCCGCCTACAAGGGGCACCATCTAGTCGTGAAAACGTTACTGCAGAACGGTTCGCGTCCCAACGATCAGGCGTTGTGCGGAGCTACTGCTCTGCACTATGCGGCCGAGAGCAGCAACCTGGATGTGGTGCTGGTTTTGCTGGATCATGGAGCCACATTAAAGAAGAATGAAATCGGCATAACACCCGCCCTGCAAGCAGCAGAGCGGCTGAATGACGATGTCGTCGAGGCCTTCATACAGCGGCCGGATCTGATGAGCCTCGAGGAGCAGATCACAGCATTGGAACTACTCGGGGCCACTTATGCCAATGACAAGACCAAGTACGACATCAATCGGGCCTATAGCTATCTGCTGCGGGCCATGCAGCTACGTTACAGCGATCCCCGGGGCGTGATCCGCAAGAAGGTTCAGCCGCCAGTGCCCGCCTATGACAGTTGGTTTGAGACCGAGAACCTGCCCGAGCTGAACGCCATCAAGCTGAACCATCACTCCATACACATGGAGTCGCTGGCCATACGAGAGCGCATTCTGGGACGCAACAATCCGGACGTCCCTCAGGCCATTGTCTACCGTGGAGCTGTGATGGCGGACCATGGTCGCTTCGACCAGTGCCAGGTGCTGTGGAATTATGCCATTGATCTCCGCATGCGTAACAATGTAAGTAGAAATGGAGACACCACTCACTTAGGTATTTAAATTGATTCGAAAATCCATCCATCCCTTTCCAGGTCTCTGTGGATCGCGATCTGCTGCGCTTCGCCCAACTGTTTGCCCAGATTCTGCGCGCGGATAATCACCGCCTCACCCTAGACCACGTTCTGCCCGTGCTGACCAAGTGCCAGCAGGAGATAGAGAACAACAAGTTCAAGATACGCCAAGCGAAGCCAAATACGTGTGCCAGTCTGCTGCAGGACCAGAACAACCAGAACTGCATTACAGCTTTATATTTAATCAAGATTGTTACCCAGTTGGCGCGTCGCAAGAAGGACCAGGACATCAACGAAGAGCATATCCAACAACTCTTCCTTGTGGTCCGAAAGTTCATACAGAACGACACTCGTCTCAACGATGGGCAGACTCTGCTGCACATCGCTGTCAATGGTGTGATGCCTGTGGATGAGTTCTACACGAATGAGATGTGCAGGTAAGCCACGAAGTGGGTAGCTCCAGCTGCGACTATGGGTACAGTCACCACTCTCCGCCAATAGGTTCCCGTGCTATGCCACTGCCCTGGTGTTGGTCCACTGCGGGGCCTCTGTGGTGGCCGTGGATGCAGCTCGCAATACGCCTCTGCACATACTGGTGTCCAAAGTGAATTCCTCGCAAGACCGACAGGGCGAGATGGCACGCATTCTCCAGCTATTCGTGGAGGCAGGAGCCCACTTGGATGCAGTTAATGCCGCGGGACAGACAGCGGCCGCGGCTTGCAAGTCTGGCCTGGGTAAGTGCGGCATTTCATCATCAGTGCATCATCCACTAACCATGTCCTCCGCCTTGTAGCTACCTTGGCCAACCTACTGCACGGTCATCAGAACGCCCACACCAGCCTCAAGTGTCTGGCGGCCCGCACAATAGCCACCCACAGGCTGAACTTCAAGGGTCTGATACCCATGCAACTGGAGGCGTTCATCCAAATGCACAGCGTGCACAAAGTGCTACCGTAGATAGCCAAAGGGAGCAATACCCCACCCCAATTACTGAGTCATTATAGCTGTGTGTAGTATACTCTGAGTGTATTCTGAGCCATGTTGGAACGAACACGTATACGTTTATGTATCAACTATATGTACAGCCTTTAGCCATGTGTATGTTGGTCTGTACGTATATCGAATTTAGCGACTTAATTTAGCCAAAATGAAGAAAGGAAACGTTTACGTTCTATTTTTGTACACTTTTTATTTATCATTCGCCATTCTTAATTTATTTACAATTACAATCTGCAACAACTTCGACTGTACTTGGACTGACTGTTTGTTTGTAACCATTAACCATTAATCGTTAATCATTAATCATTAATCATAACCATAATTATTAATCATACTTCTGTAGAATCATTTATACATTTTTCTATGTAAAACTATGTACTATGAGTGGTGTAATTAATGTTATTCGCAGTGCAAGAGGGCGCAGGCCACCTAAGTTCAATCAATCGAATTGATTTTGTTTCGTTTAGGTGCAACTAAAATAAAGATCAACCAAAATCTATCTGAAAATCACAGCGGACAATGACAAACTACAATATGTACAAATCAATCCTTAGCTAAGTATCCCTGTTGTCTAAATATTAGCATCGCTTATCTTGTGATTATTGTGGCGAACCTGTGGGTAAACCTGTGGTTGGCGCATTACCTCCTCGTACGTCGGTGGCGGCGCTGAAAATTGAAGGAAGGACAAGAAAAACGATTACCCCAGACGGACACCACACATTCTGCTGGCTTACCATTGATCACATAATCCTCATCGTGCATGTAGGCCGGATTAATGACGGCATCTGTGGGATAGGCACGTTCAACAGTGCGCTCTTCCAGGGTGGAGCGTTGCGAGCGATGCGAGTAACGCTGCAGGTTTTCTGTGTTCCTATGAAAGCTATCCAAATAGTGGTCTTCGCTCTCCACATCCTCATTCTGCAGCTGTATCACATGCACCGAAGGACGACGTTCTAAAGATTAAAGAGAGGTACATATGTATGTATATCCACAATACGCTCACCATCATAGAGTACACCTCGGACTCACCCGTATCGGCTATGGCATCTGTGTAGTTCTCGCCAAAGCGAAACGGAGCGGCCAAGGACTTTTTGCACTTGAGAAACAGCACGATCAGTATCCAGCCCAAGATGAGAACCAGATAGACAAACCCCAACATACTCATGTAGAGGCCTTACTGTGTGGGTGCCCAGCGAGGTTCCGAGCTGGAACTTTTCCTTGGAACCAAGCTCTCTAAAGTGTATATCCAAAATCGATAAATGCTGTCACGTTGGCGGCGTCGTCTAGTGGAGTGGTCATTGTAGTCGCCTGACGGACTGGCACTGAACAACTAACAATTCACACAGTCAGCCAGCAAACATGAAAGGCGGGACCGCCACCGAGACTGGGGGCTGGCCGTCGCCATATCAGCGGCTGGCCACAACAGAGCGGAGCCAGTCGGCAGTGGGAGGCACACTCCCGACTGAGGGCGAGAGCCGAGAGCCAGGGCGTAGACGCATGAAGTCCAGTTCAATTTAGGCCAGCTTTGATTCCCGGATAAGCATTTAAAAAACCGATTAGGTCGATAAACTAGCGCTAACGTTTGATAAGCAGGTTACCCTGGGTGGTATACATATTTGGATTATCATCCCGCTCATTACATGGCGCAGTTTCCCTTGGGATGATGTATGAGCTATGAGCTCATTTCCATTTAAAATGAACTAATTTAGCGGAGAGTTCGCCTCCTCATACGCATAGTTTGTGTCGAGGGGGCAGATGATGTGACCGTGACGTCATGACTATAAGGTTAACAGCCCACTTAGCATTATGCGGCTATTTGGTAATGTCCCACCTAATAATAGACCACCACGGAATTGGCCCAACTAACCTTATGAACGCTACTTCGATTGCAATTGGCTTTTATTTCTCTTTCCACAATGGTTTGCATGCTCGGTTTTGTGTGCCTTGAAATTGGTTAATAAATTATTAAAGCCTTACGACTAAGAGGGTCATGACTTATGGTTCCGTTCCTAACTTTAAGGAGGCGTACCCTTAGCTAACACTAATTCTAGATGGGCGCTAGGGGGCTACTTGCACAGTGGCGGTAAAAACAATAGTAGATAGTACCATTACATATTAATTGCTTTGTTGAATTTAATTTTTGTAATGCATTTTTTGCAACATACTAGCACTACCACTATTACTCGGACCGGTGCTGTCAAGTTGCCTGGGGTTCTGGATTGTGTATCGATTAGCTTATGGCACGAGTGGGTTAGTGTTGGGCCAAGTATTTGGATTAGTGCAGTGGGTCCTTAGGGCTACGGCCTATCCTATGCAACTACGCAAGTCGGTACAGGTTCTGCTGTACTATCACATGTTTTATTGAGTGGGTGTGCTGCGGCTGCTGCCTCCTCTCCTCACAGGCTCGTTGTGGCCTGCAGCTTGAGGTAGCGTGTTCCGCTTTCCGCGTCGGCGAGGCGAGCTATGTGATCTGAGGCGGCGTAGCAGGTGGTCGCCGTCGGAGTGCCCGGTCGACTATTGTTGTTGTTGTTGTGTATGCTGCTGCTGTTGCTACCGACGCTGCCATTGCTCCTGTCCGCGCCGACGCCGCTGCCGTTGACACCGCCCGACTGCCGGAGACGCGTGGCGCCCCAGATGAGGACGAGCACGGAAGTGACCAGGACGCCCAGACCCAGGCCGGGCAGGAAGCTCTTATTGAGGGAATCTATGACAGTGTAGCTGTGCAGCAGCGTGGACTGCTGTTGAGGATGCGTCTGCTGCTGCTGGCTGCCCGCAACGGTGTTGAACTGGCGCTGGTTGTGCTGATAGTCCTCGCTGACATCCTGCTCATGGGAGTCGGGCTTCAGCTCGTTGGGCGTGTAGTAGGGGCGTCGCTGGTACTGGCGCGACACGGGGATGGAGCCCGGACTGCTCAGCTGCAGCTGTGTGATGTTGGAGCATCCAATGTTCAGGTCCGCCTTGGGATTCTGCTCTTGGACCATCACCAGACAGAATCGGTAGCTGCGCATGGAAGAGGGAGCCGTGAGTGGATCAGGCATATTGGCAAAAGACAACTGCTTACCTTTCTCCTATGTCCAGGGAGGAGCTGTCGGGAACGATAACGCTAACCGTGTTCTGGCCATTTACCACCTTGCTCTCGCAGTGGATCTGCAATGTGAGTGGATTGCGGCTTTAAGCAGGGGCCATTAAAATAGTAGATTTGCTTGCACTTACCGGAGAGTTGTCGATAAGTATCTCATTAATGTTCTCCTCCTTGTAGACAAAGATAGCATCGCACATGTAATCCTTCTTGCTGAGATTCAGCAGCCAGGTGAGGATCAGTCCATAGTCCGCCGAATAGTGCAGATCGTGTAGAATAATCTGAAGAAGGAAACGGTCATATTTATCTGCACATTTAGCGCACTCTTCTCCATTTGTTCCTCTCACCTCCTCTGACAAGTCCCTGACGGGCGACGTCTGATTCGGTTTGGCGAAGGTCTCCAGATGCTGCATAATGTTGGCATTGTCCTTCTCCACATTGTCCATGTCGCAGCTGAGCGTCTCCACGGGCACCTGAAGCAGCGGAGCCCCCTCAAGGCGCGGCGGCGTCACACAGGAGGCAGTGAGGCTGGAATGGAGCTGGGAGACCTGCAGCCACTCGGCGAAGGGACGAATGCTGCAATCGCAGGAGAGCGGATTGTCCTGCATCTGGAGGCTCTGCAACTCGCGAGCTCCATCCATGGCGTTCCTAGCCACAATCGAGATGTCGTTCCCGGCCAGTCGCAGCTCCCTCAACGAAGGCAGCGGAGCTATCAGATCCGAGGTAAGGGCGCGCAGGAAGTTATGCGTTAGGTCCAAGACGGTCAAGCGACTCAGATGTTGCAGCGAGGAACTGGAGATGGCCACAATGCCATTGTAGCTCAGATCTAAGCTATCCAGAGCGCCCAGTCCGTAGAAGGCGTGGTCCTGGAGGACATCAATTTGATTGTGGCGCAGCGAGAGGCTCACCAGACGAGAGAAGTTGGCCAACGCCTTGTTCTGAATGCTCTTGATCATGTTCCGATTGAGGTTCAGGCTTTCCAGGTTCCGCATCCCAGCCAATGTCTGCGCGCTGAGCGGACCATTCAGATTGTTGGCCGTAAGGTCTAGTTGCCGCAAGCTCAGGCACTGGCTCAAGGATCGCAGGCTCTGGGCATAGTCGCCCAGGCGATTGCCTCCCAATTTAAGCACCTCCAACTTCCTCAGATTGCTGAAAGTGCGCTGCGATATGCTCGAGATCTGATTGTTACTCAGCTCCAAGTACCCCAGATTGGTTAGGCCCACAAAATCGGCCGTTCCCAAGGCCTTAATTTTGTTGTTTGCCAAATCCAAGCGTTCGAGGGCTCCGAGCGTTGACAAGGCGTTCCAGGGAACGCTAAGCAGAGCGTTTCCGGGGAGCCCTAAGGCCTGCAGGGGGCCCTTGATGCCCAAGAAGGCGGACTTGTGCACTCGCTTGATCTCCCCCGAGGAGATGACCAGGCCATGCAGAGAGACACCGTCGAAGATTTTCGCGTCGCTCAGAAAGGTCACGTTGCGCAAGGAGCAGTCAAGCAGCGATATGGAGTACGGGGAGGTGCGCAGCCTATCCGCTAGCAGCTGTAATTGGAATCGAGTCAAGGTTTAGAAGTTAAGAGAGGTCCAACAAGGCATCCGGGTGGATTCTCACCAGTAGTCCGTGCAGATCTATGTTGCATCTCAGGGTGTGGGGCAAGTCGCAGCCGCACTCGAGTTCCGCGTTCCGGGAGCCCGTTATGTTGGGACACTTCCATTCCATGAGGCCATCGTCCACGGGCAGCGGCAGCGAGGAAACCTGCTCGGCCTTCCTCTTCTTGGGCGTACTCTTGTTGAAGTACTTCACGGCGGACTTGGATTTCCCGGTAATGGTGGTGGTGGTTACGGGCACGGCAGCCGCCGACACCACATAGGCAGTGGGTGTGGTTGCGGTGCTCGTAGATGGCGCGGGGACGCTGGTGTTGGTCGTCGAAGCCGCTGCGGTGGTGGTATCCTCAAGCAGATCCTTGAGTTCATTGGCCTCTGTCAGCACAGAGACCAGACATATCATCACAAATAGGCTGCAATGCAAATGGAAAAATTTTCATGGAAATTATTGTATTATTGAAAGCAAAACACTTGGATGCAACAACAGAACGGCAGATTGTGCGTTTTTAGGTCAAGCAGCGCCACCGCCACTGACACTCTGACACACATACAGTGTGGCACCCGTAGGTGTTTGTGTCCAGCGGCCAGTGGCGGCGGCGGTGGTGCGTCTCACGCTGGAATTTGTGCCTGTATTGTGCCTGCATCCGAGCTGATCTCTGCAAGACAATTTGCCAATTTAGAGCTTAACGCAATCAAAACTCGAGCGATTTATGCACTGTGAGATAATCTGTGGTCTTTACGGTTTGCGGAACTTGCGGAAAATTTTCAAATTTCACGCATTTTCTGCCTCCCAATAGACGTCCAATCCTTTGCGGTGAGTTTAGAAATTTTCATGATAGATGTTTTTATTTCGCACAGTCAACGGCGAGGCGAGTACCCCCAATATATTTTGCATCTCACCGAACAGGCCACCACCCCAAGCGTATCGTCACGTCTTGTTGCGCCTCGCAGTGACACACTTAAGTTGCGTGCGAGGCTTTAAAAACCCAGAATTCGGTCGCTACGCATCCAGTGCCATAGAAATAATTCCGCAGCAAAGTGCCCAGTGCTCGCAGTTGCCGCGGAAGGAAGCGCCACAAAGCCCCACCTACAGGATTAGCAGTGGTCCCCCCTACAACATTTGGACAGTCTCCTCTCACTCTCATTATATCCCCATATCCATGGCCAATCAGATGCACAAGAGTGGTGCCCTGGTCCTGGTCCTCAATCTGTTGCTGCTGACGCAGTCGGAGACGGAGGCCAAGCTGCTGACACGCTGCCAGCTGGCCAAAGAGCTGTTGCGCCACGACTTTCCGAGGAGCTATCTGTCCAATTGTGAGTGGTAGGCCCAGACAAAGCGTTGATTTAACCGAGATCTGTATTTGCTAGGGGTTTGCCTTGTGGAGTCGGAGAGCGGACGCAGCACGTCCAAGTCCATGCAGCTGCCCAACCAGAGCGTCAGCTATGGACTCTTTCAGGTGGGTTATCTCATCCACTCTCTGTAGCATGTCTATGAGCAGCTCATACTCATACTCATCCAAACCAAATCACAAATCAACAGATCAACAGCAAAAACTGGTGTCGCAAAGGTCGTCGCGGTGGCATCTGCAACATCAAATGCGAAGGTGAGTCGTCCGCCCACGCGCGCCTAGACGGTTGTAGTATGAGAGAGATTTGTATTACAGAGTTCCTGAACGATGAGATCTCAGATGATTCACGCTGTGCCATGCAGATCTTCAATCGCCACGGCTTCCAGGCCTGGCCCGGTTGGATGAGCAAATGTCGTGGGCGCACGTTGCCCGACGTCTCCCGCTGCTAGGACGGGCTGCCCCCAGACTTGCCCACAATTTCCCCGATCTGCTCTCTAGCCTTAAACGTACTCTACTATTACTCTAGCGACTAATTAATAAACAGCTTAAGCCATGATGCCCGTACGATAATGTATTCATTCTGCGAATTGTACAAGGCGCAATTTTTCGCAATTATTTCCAGGAATCGCCACTATCAGCTCGCAGCGATGCGATCCCAAAGCTGATACTTGACTTAACCTTTTTTGAACTTTGTTTTATTCGACTGATAAGAGAGTACCCAAAGTATTGTTTAAGCCTAGGCAAGGCTATGAGAATGCAGACGGATGCACCCCAAATGGGGAGAATCCCATCCCTCAGACCACAAGTCCACGGGGAGGCAGTCAAGCATGTCATTACGTTCAATGTGCAAGTGCCTTATCAGCTTAATCAGCCAAAACGGAGAACGTTGGCGCTGAGAGAGGGAGGGCCCGACAATCGGTACGATCGGTGGAGAGAGATCGGCGTTTGGGGAGAGAATTTCCTAAGCACCAATGTATCTGAGAAATACTCGAATTCGCGTTGGGCTTTCGATTTAGTACTTCAGCTCGGGTCAGAAGCGTCGCACCTGGCAGCGAGCGAGCAAGCGACCGAGCGACGTTTGCAAATGAGATTGTAAAGCACGCCATCGCATACGAAGCCCACGAAACGCGGTAAGAAGATACGGATACTCGCGCACAGCAGTTTATAATTATACTCGTAGATACAGATACTCCGCGAAACAAACTCGTTTCCTGTTGTTCTGTTCTGCGTTCACTAACAACATGAAGTAAACAAACAGTTTGCTCTGCTCTGCCTGAAGTGTCTGTCCGGAGAAGTCACTCAAGTCCGTTCTCGTTCCCATTCTTTGCTGATCCGAGTATGCAATTCAAACAAAAGTGAAACGTGTACGTGCGTGTACTTAATGATCTATCCAGTCACTACATTGTAGTGCCGTAGATTGTATACTTTTTGGCACCTTGAGAAGGTTCTAGGGGAAACAAAAAGATGGATCGTACAGAGATAAATAGATAGGGAGATAGTTACGAATCGGAATGGAAAGTCCTATGACGGAAGACGGATTAGCACATCGACAGGTATAGTACATGGTTTGATAAAACAATGAGAAGGAACCATGTGGAAGTAAACAAAGGCATCAATTTGTGTGGTCATTTATGATTAGCATCCAAAAAGCTATTAGAGTTGTTTCTAAGAGTATCATTCACTCCATAGATGCCCCCTTTTAAACCACATAGAGAAATAGTGCATATGGAAAAACCGGAAATTATGCAACCAAGTTCGAAGAACTAGGCGTGTGAGTCTGACTAATTAAGCATGCCCATAAATTATTATAAAGCTAATACACCAGACCTATCAAAGTGAGCCGAGTAGTTCGCCAAATACTTTGTACCTTCTACCTGCTGGGGCTCTACGATAATGTCGCATTTTTTTAGTTGAAGATGAAACATTTTTGCCTGTGTCTGATGCCCGTGCTGGTCCTGCTGCTGTTGGGATCTGAGCGGGTGGAGGCCAAGAAGTATCTGCGCTGTGAACTCACCCGCGTGCTGGTGGAAAACTACAACTTTGACAAGACTTTCCTCTCCAATTGTAAGTGGTTGGAATACTCGTTTTAGTTAACGCCGATTGACATGAATTTCTCCCGCAGGGATTTGCCTGGTGGAGCACGAGAGCAACCTGGACACCAGCAAGATAACGCTCAAGAAGAACGACAGCAAGAACTATGGCCTTTTCCAGATCAACAGCAAGGACTACTGCGCCGAAGGACGCAAAGGCGGGCAATGCAATATGAAATGTGAAGGTAATTTAAATGCTCACCACTCTCTATTGATACTGTATCGACCACATTCTGTTATCTTTTTAGACTTCTCCAACGACGATATTGGCGATGACATTGCCTGTGCCAAAATGATCCACGAGCGCGAGGGCTTCAAGTACTGGAAGAAATGGGATCGCTTCTGTCGGAATTCTCAGAATCTGCCCAATCTGCGTGTGGCCTGCAATCTGCGTAGCCTGTCGCCCCTGCGCACACCCCGCAGTTTCTACTACATCTCAGGCTGATGACTTACTCCTATACATATAATACATGCATAGACCTCTCCAGATACTAGTATATGTACAAAGTACTAATGTACATAAATTTTGCATAATTGCTTGTTCACTCTGCATTTGTTGCATGCCCACACACACACACACACACACACACACGGGGTTGCGATCTGTGGATAAAGGGCCCTATTTTTCTGTGTCCACAAGTGGGCGACCATCGACAACTGGGCCTGACAATGCATAGGCTGAGCGAAGGCCCAGACCAAGACTGAGAATAAGACCTTCAGGGGGCATGGGGGCATGTAATTGATAGCTGCGGTGCAACATGTTGCAACTCGATTCCCATTCAAAGTCAATCATACAGACTTCTTGGTACAGAGAATGCACAGAGAACAATATCATTTTGCATTTCCGCTCAACAAAGGCGGCATTTCCGTTTGCCGGACAACAATTGAGCGAGTGGTGTGTGTGTTCTATAACGCACCGCAGGGCATCGCATCGGATCGGATCGGATCAGGGAAGCGTAGCGCGCAGAGCCATGGTAACAGGTGGAAGCTCAAAAATCAGAGCGTAACTACAATACAAATTGTACGAGACAATGGCCAAACATGGCCAAGAGGAAGCACTGGCCCTGGCTGTCCGGGCTGCCTGGGTCTCGCTGCCCGGTTCCATTAGAATGCGCTTTGCATATGTACGTGGTCAAAATAAATCAGTTCTTGGTAGAACAGACAAGTGCTGCGTTGACCATTGCCTGCAGGGGCAGGGGCAGGGGCACAGGGGTCTGCCAACATCCTCAACAATAAAAATTGTTTAAAATGCAGCTCATACGCTGGCCACCCGACTCCTCCCCTGTCACGCTAACTGGTCAACGGCTCGCAACGTTTCAGTGCCTCTAATTTCCGCCCTTCCCCTCTCCACACTGTGGCTAATTATGCATAAAATGCCACGCCTCACACCTCACAGGATCTCCTCGCATGCCCTCGGAGTCGGAACGGGGTCGGGTCGGACCCAGCCGCTGAATCAGCCAGATGGGAAGCACACTCAATCACATTTCAGAAAAGAGTTTGGCCAACTAGCCGACTCCTTGGTGGCTGTTTGTTTGGCTTAAAACTTGCCACAGTCTCGCTAATCAATCCACAACCAGTCGGGTCTGAGTCCCAAACAAAACCGACCAGAGTCGGAGCCATCGACGACACCTCCTCTCAGTGTGCAGACTGGAGACGCCAGTTTAGGTTGATTATTCATCTGAGCAGAAATCAGCCAGCTCCCACACACCGGAGCTACGACTGTGTGGTTGGGAACGAATTTCGAATGCTCTTTCGGGATGCTCTTCTACTCCTTCCGAATAAGAAATTCTTAAAGATTTCCCCAAATATATTGCTCCAAAAATATAGTAAAATGATTGGTTGGGAAGTTTGGACCGATTTTGTCTTCTAAAGCTTTTAATAATGCTTTTTTCTTTCAGTCAAATTTGGTTCTACCTTTGACTGCCTCCAGTCCAGTTCCCCCAGCTGATGGACTCCTCCAACTCCTAACTACCCACTGCCCAGGGCTCTGTGTTGTGTCTGTTGGCTGTTTCGCGCGCTGGTGTGTAGGCGCACAGTTCAAGCGCCATCATCATTATCATCGTCAGCCGGAGCCAGGCCAGCCGAAACTGACTGGAATTAAGGCACGTCAACGGAAATAAACCTTCTCGCACGCATCCGTGTGTTAGTGCACATGTGTATCCGTGTGAGCCAAATCGTTGAAAATGGTTCGAGTTGTGTTGGTAACGGCATTGCAACGTTTTCTGTGGAACGGACCGAGACGAAGAGAAGAGATTTTGCTGCCTGATGATGATGCTGGGGCCGATGCCAACTCGCAGATGAAGACCAAAAGATACAAAGATATGATAATGATGCCACAAAATGGGCGTGAATGTGTGTGCAGCTGACTCTGCAAACTTGCCGCAAAATACAAAAAATACGAAACTGATTGAAAAACGAAATTCCAAAATGCAATCACTCGCTGCTATTAACAAATCGTGTAAAAAGTGTTTTTCTTTTCTTATTTATTTCTCACATAAGTTAAAACTTAAACTGGCACACAAGCCAGCTAAATATATTATTATTACTTTTTTCTATTTTTCTGCTGTTTGGTTTTCTAAGCCCAACTTTTTTGCGCTCCCCAAATGGCCAAAACATGCGATAAGCCATTGAACAATTAAAAACGCGTTTTTTGCTGGCTGCCTTCTTTGGCAACCACTGAACGAGCAACCAAACAAAAAAAGATAAATAAAAACCGAAACTGAACCATTGTCGCTTGACACACCGAAGTGCAAATTCTCTTTGGAAGGTGATGGTAGACTAAGGAATGACTGGAGGTACTACATTGGATGAATTTAGGGGGATAATTAATCCAGTAAAGATGTCAAATCTACATATATAAACCCCCTATTAATTGCTTGGTTTAAGTGCTATCCAAGCAGAGAAGAACCATACATTTCTGTCCGAATTACAGCATTAATTAAAGTTAAGCTGGAATGTATTTTATATAAAAGTTCTCTTTTTTAAAGTATCCGCCAGCGAATGACATGAATTGCAACAAAAACAGCAGCAGCAGTAGCCAATTGGGCAGCATTTTGCTAATCATAATGACAGCAGCATGCTGCATAGGTTAAAGGCGAAATTAGTAGTTTGTTTGGTAGTTTGATAGTTTGGCGGTCTTTTGCGCCATATTGAATATCAACCTGCTGTGTGGCATTGTTCGCGCGTTGAAAGCGCAACGAAATGTGGCGTGGCTCTTGGATGTGTGTCGTGGCTGGCTCGGCTCTGTGTGGCAGATGAAATTTATGCCTAGCATGAAAATAGTAAAAGTTTGCTGCAAAAGCCAGCCAAAGGTCGAAATGTCACGCAAGTGGCAACCACAGACGTGTTGCACACAAGAGGGAAAAAAACCGAAGCAGCTGCTTTCGAAATTGAAGTAGCCACAAATACAACAGCAAAAGCAGCAACAATTGTGGTCTGGCGTGAGTATTTAGCATGCCAAAAAATAAAAGAAAAAAACAAGGAGACAAAAGGCGACAGGAAACAGAGGCAAAAGGGATTTAATTGTGTGGCCCATCCTGGGCCAGGTACCAGTTCCCCTACCCCTTGAGCCCTGTGAGAATTTCATGTGTGAATGACGGGACGCATTTGCTTGTGTCTGGAGGTAAGACGGAAGCGGATGCTGATCCTTGTCTGAATACAGAGCAATGTCAATATTGTATTTCTATATAAATATGTATGTACATACGATTACGAGTAAAAAGATAAATCCATCTTATATTCAATCATAATGCATAAAGTGATATTCGTGAAGTCAGAAGCTTTAATAAACCCTATAACCTTTAGCTGAGGTTTAACGATCAAACGATCATTAAATTTAACCCCTTCATATATTTGGTAATTAGCGAAAAAAAAGAAATTAATTTTTGTTGATTTATCTTAATAATATACTCATAATATCAATAATTTAATTAAACACAAAAATTAATTTTTTAAACGTTTTGGAACCACCTTTGGTCTGGTATTTACTTGCTGACAAGTGCCGGATGATATTGTTCATTATGCCACTTGATTTTCAGAATATATGTATACAAAATACACGCCCCTTAGTGAAACGAGCTACAGGAGGATACGGTCGATGTGGATGCCCATAAATTCAGAGCCTCAAATTGCTTTTAGTTGTTCGCGGCGGCTGCCGTCGGCCATATTCATATGCAAATGTCAGACAAAACACAGATTCCGGGCAACGAAAATCCAATTTAATTTAAATTAAACACAACCTGGACCTGGACCTGGTTCATTCATGCTCAGAGCTCGGACTGACTCAGAGGAGCTCGTAAAATGCAAGATTTGGTGAATAAACTAAAAATGCAGGCGAACAAAAGCCGGCTTAAGACCGTTCCACCAAATAATGGTTTGTTTACCTTGCCCCAGGGGGAATCGGATCGTATGCAATGGGATAAGCCAACTGTTCATCTCAGAGCCACACATGTGCGGACCGATCATAAGCAGATTTAAATTCAGCCTCTAGTCCGCAGATTAACAAAGAGCCCCTGACAGAAGTTCGACTTGCAGCAATTGCCGTCACTTACGGGCTACTTTGTCTCCGATTTGGTTAATTGTTCGAGTGCCGGTGCTTGCCCGAGCAGCTGCCCACGTGAGCGTTCCATTAAAAAGTAATTTGCCCAACAGAAAAACTGGAAAAGAAACAAAAGCGCCAAAGCCAAATCCCATTCAAACAGCAAAGACACTGGCAGCCAACAGCCCGAGCCTCGGCAGAGACGACAGTCAGCCGCCACCCACACACTTCCGCTGACTTGTCTCTCGGCCCACTCTCGAAAAATAATACTCACTAATTTTATTTCTCCGACTTGACTTGTTGTGGCTGTTATTTTATCGCTGGTTTTTGTTTGGAGGAAAAACAAGTTTGTCAGCCCAGTGATTTGCAGTTGCGGTGACAATTTTACCAACAATTTGAGACTAGAAGCGAGACCCGGGAGGAAAGGATGATTGAGTTAGAAACTGGGTTTGGAATGAACTTTGCAGCAGAATACAGGATGCCTCAAGGTTAAAGAATATTACAAACATTGAACTAGCATTCGTCACAGTCATCCCAAATGGTAAAAGATGAATCTTAATGTATTCTTTGCTCCGAGAATAAATGGTTTGATGTTCTATTTCCCCGCGATATTATTCCAGAATCCCTTAACGCTAGCATTTCATGAAGAATTCCCCTTCGCTCTGTGCACACCAGCTCAACCAGAGCAGACCATAAACCACACAGAAAAACCAAGTTCACAGCCCACACAAGCCCCAGAGAGCGAGTGGAGGAGCAGACCGCCAACGCATGTGCATAATGCTAAATCGACTGTTAATTGCGACATTTCGAAAGCCGTCAAGTCGGGCCGAAATAAGCGAGATCCAATCAAATGGAAATCGCTGTTCGGCAGTCAAAAATTGAATCAAGTCGGTAGGAAAATATTGAACAAGAAGAAAGCTGACTGGAGCCAGGGCACGGAAATGGGTCTGAAAATGAACTAAATTAAAGATATTATGCGACAACATACGACA